GCAACAAACTTCAACAGCATTACCCTCGTACGTATCAGAACCCGAGTCTTCATCAGACAACCCATATGCCACGTGTGCTTCTTTGATCTGTCGCTTAAAAGCACATTGATTACGTACATGGCCATAACATAAACAAGAAAAACATTTCAACACTCTATCGTAGTCATTGAGCTTGTTTTTTCTCTTGGCAATAAGCTCCTGAACCCTCATTGCGTATGCTGGGTTTTTATCGCAAATCGCGTCTGAACCATGTTGTTTGTTGCAATGACTACAGTTGATTGTGTTAACTTTCTTCCTGTTGTATCTTTTGTCTTTCAATGGGTATCTTCCCTGCTGAGGTTTCTGATATGCTGCAGCTCCTGACTCAATGACATCGTTCACTGTTGAACTAAAAATGTCTGGATGGGCATTATAATAACCTTCTCCAAGTTGCTTAATCTGTTCCAGATTTACAGGTGTTCTTTTTATTAAAGATGTAGCCATTTTTTTTTCCGGAATCGATTCTAGAATTTTACTCCTTATTAATAGGTCTACTAAAGATTGGTAATCATTTCGAACTTTCGCTGCATCAACCCATTTTTGAAACGTGTTTTGCACTTCAGCAAGGTAATCTACAAACGTTTGATTACTCCTGGGCTTTAATCCAACGTATTGTTTTCTATAGCCCATTGCATTGAGTTTATAATGGTTCATGAGGTATTCCTTCATATGATCGTAATCCATTTTCTCTAATTCTGGTATTGATTCCAACACTTTAAGTGGCTCAAATCCCAAATGTTTCTGGAAAATCATTGCATAGTCTTCCTTGTTAACTTTGTTCATCCGCATTTGAAGCTCAAAGTTCGTTACATAAGCTGATATATCCTCATTTTCACAGAAGTTCCGTACTATGCCAGTGTATTTCTTAAACCTCTTTTCCTCGGCGTGTAATCTTTCTTTCTCTAGTGCTGCTTCCCTTCTGGATTCATTTTCCATTTCTTGTCTTTTTAACTGTGTCTCTGCTTTCTCTTTGTCTGAGTTAATCTGTGCTGCCAACCTCTCTTGTTCCAGTTGTAACCTTTTATCTTCCATCTCTTTTTGTTGAGCTAATTCTTTCGCTCTTTTATTTTCTTTATTTTATTTTCTTTTAGTTCCTTCTGCGAGTAGTACTCACTGTCTCTTGTCTCTTTCTGAAGTAGTAACTCTTGTTCTTTGACACGGAGCTCGTGTTCTCTCGAAAGTCTCCTCTCGTTTCTTTCCTCTTCTGCTTTTATCTTGTCCTTCTCTTTCTCTTGTTCAGCTCTTATCTTCTCCTTCTCTATCTCCGCTGCTCTCTCTTCTGCCTTCATTTCTTTATACTTTTGGTCCACAAATTTCCTTAGCTCCTCGCCTTGTAAGCCTAACTCCTTCCCGATCGCAACCAGTTCTGCCATTCCCGACATTCTTGAATAGGATGATCAAGATTTCCTGCTACTCCTTCTTTTGATCTACAAATATATCTATCACACTCAACAATGATGACACAACAACAATTGAATTTAACCAAATTCAAATAAACAAATAATAAACTAAGTCGCTAACTACCGACTTAGGGATTAGCTTATCTTATTCTAATATTAATTGACAAAATCTAATTTTATTTATAACTAAGTAATTACCCTCCTATTTTAATCAACTTGCACTACCCTTGCCTAGATGTAGCTGTAACTGTAGATTGGAAACCGCTGTCACTATAAGATATATAAAGTAGGACTAATGTAATGATAACTAATCAATAAATCACCATAAAATTATTCAAGTAACTAATTCACAAATAATAAATAAATAATAATTAAATTTCCTACGTAAACTATATTTAATATAATAATAAAGTTATTAAATTTATAAATTTCTATTTAATTATTTCACCTTTAATTTAATTAAATAAACATACAAAATATTTTTAATTAAAGTAATTACCTATGAAATAATTAAATACTAGAACTAAATAATTCTAATTAAATAATCACCTATGAATTAATTAATTATCTATAAATTAAATAAATAAATATAGTAAATAATTTTAAGATCCTATCTACTACAGATTCTAACAAAATATATCTATGCTGCAAGTAAATGACACTGGTCGTATACAAACTTCTCAAAAATTATGATACCAATAATCATACACAATTTGTCAACAAATTTTAGAAATAAGTAATGATGATGATGATAAATCAAATGGAAATGGTATATTTGCCCCCCAAAATTTACAGAAGTAAATAAATAATGATTCAATAATTACCCAAAATTACAACCAGAAATAAATAAAAAATAAACAATTATATTGTTCACAATAATATACTCACAACCTAATAAATTTTGGTATAAAATATAAATAATTGATAAATCAAAATCAAAAAAAAAATAACTATGGTGTAAAATAATATAACCACCAAGTAATAGTTATTAATAATATAATTATTAATAAATAAAATATCAGAAAAATCAATATTACAATAATAAATTATTGCAATATATTGAAATAAATTCAATAAAGTACGCCCATAATACCTAAAAATTCAATTAATAAATAACTATAGTTCTATTGATGTCGGTTCTAAAGTAACTCCGAAACGGTGTATTGATAACGCCAAATTGTACGCACACTTGAAAATATGTCACTTGAAACACTATTAATATTGCGATAGTCTAAATACACTTGAAAAATCGTCACTTGACAAAAGCACTGTAAATATATCGGATTAAGTTACTTTTCCGGCACGGCACACGATAATAGTTATATTTCTTGCTGCTTATTATCACACACTACTACGAATTCCAACTTTATCTGATATGTCCTGAATATCTAACCTAAACACAGTTTTCCTGAATTTAATTAATGTTTACCTTATTCTGTCCGGCTGACAATCTCACACCTGTTCGCCTGTAGTTCCGCTTGAACACACTGACCCAGATTTTCTGTGTGACCTAGTTCGCCAGTTGTAGCAAATTAGGAAATTTCTGCTAGCTTTTGCTAGTGGATTGCTGGTTAACGGCAATTTCTCAGCGCTGTTGATAGATATTTCTCAATCCACGCTGTGATGAATGGCGACCCGGAAGTCTCAGTTGACTCGTTGATCGTGAAATATTTTGTTCGCCCTTTTATTTATTCGTGGTTTTTGGCTTTCTTGTGTATCGCGCTGTCATTGTTGACGCGTAGTGGACAACTTCTTCGTCGTAAATGTCATACAGCCATTTGATCTGTTTCTCGTAGGCTTCTTGATGAATTTGCAGAACGACGCAAAGTGCCACGTAACCCAGGGCAGTCTACGTGTCCTTTAACCTTTCACCCACGTGACGACATAACCCAGCGTCAGGCGGTTACAGGTTAAATTTTTGTCGCAACTGTTCGGTGATTCCAGCAACTATGCGTTTCACCAGATATCGTCTCTTACATGGCCGTCTATCACGATTTTTACGTTTCGACTTTCAATGGAACCTCATCTGCGTGTACGTGATAGTCTCCGGTATCACTTTTCGTTGCTCTGTTGACTAAATTATCAAAACTTTCGGCTTTCACTGTGCAACTGATGTTTTTACTCGGTGACTTCACGAGCTGTGCTCTCTCAGGCAGACTCCGTCACTTATATATCAGTCATTTGACTTCTAATGGCCCTTCAACGTCTGCGTGGCAAGTAACAGCTCATGATATCATCTCGCCGTTGCTGATCTGTTGCCCGGTTATCTCCGTTTTTCAAGTCCCCAATTGTAATGAATGGGTTTGTATTTCTACTCGTTGTCTAGGCGGTGTTCATGCGTGTGTGGTGGATGATATTCTGACACGCTTCACTTTACACACCTGGCACAAGCCGACACCGATGTGAGCTTACGAGACATTACTTTATTGACGTATTAAAACTTACGACAAAAGAGAATCGTCCAGTCGATGTCTAATTGAACCGCTTTCGTACACAAACTCACGCAGCCTTTAACGAATAGTCTTCTGCAGGCATTCAAGCAGCGATGGGTCCCATGGATTCAACACTGACGTTTGGACATCTCACACGCTGGCATGGTCGATCTCAGCTTAACATTTCGTCGGCAGGTCTCCTTTCTCCTCAGGCACTCACGTAGACATTCGTACATTCAATCGCTCGTCCTCTCGCTCCAACAGGTCGACACAAAACTAAACTTGACCAGAGTCAAGTCTGACTTATACCACGGGTTCCTTTCACGTGACAACACGTGGTGGTCCTTTACTTTTCCCGTGGCGACCTTGGGTCGCATCACCGTGAGTGGAAAATATCCCCCCGTGATAACTAGTTTTTAAATAGTAACCTGTTATCTGTGAGCAGCAGTCGAAGTGACTCAACAATGCTGCCCAGGCTTTATGCTATGAACAGGGGGAGCTTCATCCTTGACCTTTCAGGGGCCGTAATTACCAAACCTCCCCTACATCACAATATAACTCTCTCATCTGGAAAGATAGAAAGGTGCTGAGAATGTAGATATATAGATAGCAATAGGTTAGTTGCGTATCATTTACAGGACGCTGCCGAACAGACCCCAGCAGCCCCTGGCTGTTGTGTGGTTTCTCTAGGCAAATTTACATCCAGTAGTTTGCCATTTCTTTCTGGACGGTCGGACCCCCCCTTATACCACCGTCAAAACCAACACAAGGCGCATGGCCCGCAGCTGGGATCGAACCCGGCACCCAGGCATTACGAAGCATTCGCATCGACTTAGCCACAGAACCGACTACAGATAGCAATATCCCACTGAAATTCTGATTAGGCCTTAATGGTGATGTTTCCTCAACAGGTTGAAAGGTATTTTACTGTCAACAGGCTCCAACTTAATGCCCTAAGGAGAAATGTTGAGAAACACAGCTGAAGTTTACAGCAGGTGAACACAAACGAGAAAAATAAGAAATAAAACAAAAGGAAAAATCAATGACCGAAATGCAATTTTGAAGTGAACTAAACAATAATGTTTATTGTCAACTTTTATTTCATAAGGAAACACAAAAATAAATCTACAAACCTTGATAATATGCAGGTCTTTTTTCAGCTGTGTGTATGCTTCCTCCCACTGTGCATGGTGTGTTGACCACACATATTCTCTTAGCCACATACTCTGGCCTTGAAGGAAGACGTTTTGTTTTCATACACTTCCAAGCTACCCATATTACAATGGTAACTATAAAAATTATGAGAAACAATATCAATATAGTCATTATAGATATTTTCAAACTATAGTTTTTAAAATTTATATTAACAAATTTGTGTTCCCCTCGCCTCCTTCCCGACATTATAAGTCTGTAAGTACAACCCAAATCCATTTTTACATTAAAATAATGCACTTGTAAGCCCAATTTGAATTTTTCCATTTCTGTGTGATACCTTTTGTGAATGCAATCTTTTCCTTTTACATGGAAGATTGATACTGTAATCTTTGTTTGTAATCACAATCACTGTCTATGTGAAGACTTTGCTTGCTATTACAATTTGTATCTAAGACTCTGCAAGTTCCATTTGCTTCAATCTCTATATTATCCTTATTTTCTACTGATAGGAATTCGCCGTGGCAAGGCGGTCGGACATTCGCCTGCGGATCTGAAGGTTGTTGGGTTCAGGTTCTGACGGTACAGGACTTGTTTTTCAAAAGTAACTTTGGCTTCCAGGTCGACCAAGCCCTGAATGGGTACTAGGTGGAGTGGGCACTAGGTGGAGTGGGTACTAGGTGGGGTGGGTACTAGGTGGAGTGGGTACTATGTGGAGTGGGTACTAGGTGGAATGGGTACTAGGTGGGGTGCTGCGAAGTAAAGATGGCTGACATGATGCTGACATAACCCACTAAGACTGAATGGTCTATAAAATACAGGTCTAGCCCTATATGCCCGACGGCGTGGAAAGAGCCTTTTTTTTTTAAACCACTGATATTACTTTCTTTGATTAGTCCACCTATTCTAAACACAAGGCTTTCACAATCACCTGGTTTGGCATGCAGCAAAATTCCATACCAGTAACCTATTCTTACAACAGTTCAAACTCAGACCATTTCTCAAGTCTGAATACACAGCTCTTGCTTCTGTAACAAAAAAAGGTTTGCTGTAGGACTGTACTTGTGTGTGCACTCATTGTTGCTCAGCAGGACCCCATAATACTAACTGCCTGTTCATTTTATAAACTGCAGAAAGGACACAACCATCATTTGGTTAGGTTCCCGTTAATCTCCCCAGAAAAAGGAAGTAACTTTTCATTCACAAGTTTGTTGGGCTGGTCGACTTTCCTGAAGGTTACGGGTGTGTCCCGCCCTGTTGTTTGCTTTCTGTGGTGTCTTGCATTTATGTTTTCATTCTGAGAAAGAGAATGCCTGTGACATAGGTAGCAGCATTCTTTAGGGGAGTTGTGATAAGACCAGTTGGTTCATGTTTTTGGAGCATTAAAAGCACTGGCGTGATGAAATATACAACACGTGATATCAACGGTATCGAGGAACACTCCCGTAACCTTGTGGGAGGGTCACAGGGCTCAGGAACTACCAATCAGAAGTGTGCAAGTGTGTATATGGGCGGGCCATGGGAAGACTAACGTTACTTTTACCCCATCATTGATTTCAAACTGGTTATTTTTCCTGGTAGGATTACAAAACATTAAAGTGAGGGAAACCAAAACAAACAATACTGAATATTTAATTCATTTTACACTCACCACCAGCTGCAATACTTGAAAGAATGACAAATGAGGCCCTTGCGGAAATCATGAAAGCTTCAGTTTCTGGTATGAATCTACATCCCGCTATAAGTAAACCTGAAAAGGTTTTAAACAAATTAAAATGATGAATATATAAAAACAATATATTAATTTACTGCCTGGTATATTTAGCTGTATCTTGTCACGTGCATATGCATACTGCAGAATCATCAACATAATGAAGCACCAGAATGAGTTCTTTTGACGTTAATTATAAATACACATATTACATAGTCAATTGCTAAATCTCCCTACAGAATTCTCAGATGTTAACAAAGTGCTCTTTTTGTTTACACAATAACAGATGGCCCATCCTTATCCCGAATGCTTCAGCATGCTTCAAAATGTCTCTTCTACTGATTATCATTACAACACATTATGCAATAGATTGTTACTTTTCTAACAAAAGAAAAACATTCTGTTTTTAACACAAATTCATTATTTACACTTCTAGATTTTGTTACATTTTGGTCAACTGATAAATCTCAACTCTAAAATTTTCCCATGTTGTGTGTTTGTGGTTTGGGGGTGTTAACCAGGAATGTTGACCTTTCATTCATGCTTGCTCTCCTTTCACACACGCTAGCCCAAGTTGCATGGGAGTCACGTTGTGTTCCGTTAGGTATAACTACACATTGCGTTTTACTCATTGTTCTGAGCAGCTGGTGACATGTGTATAATCTAGCGTTCTCGGACTTCAAGTATGACTTGAATTTACTTCAGCTGTCAGCGTAGACGACCGACAAGGAGGGCCGTCAGCAAAATGTTAACAGTTGTGAACCATAAGACGTAGGCTGCAGTCTCTCATGGGACATAGGCTGAGGCTGTGGGGTGGGGGGAGAGTTAGGGCCAGTTTTAGATCTGGGATTGTTAACCCTTTTGAGACTACGCGGCTGAAATATTGGCCTAACACAAAGTAGCCAAAAGGACTACTAGGCCGATCGGTAGCCTTGATATTGGCTGACAGGTTTTCGTACCAGCCAATCAGACTGCTTTTTGCATTTCTTGCACATGTGAGCTGTTGTTAACAATTTTACATCGATTTTTTTCTGAGGCTACCTGTGCCCAAAATAGCGAAAAAACACTGTTGTGTCAATGCTATCGAAACATTGCTGGAGGCAGAAAAAATGAGTAGAACCATGTGCCAGACATGTCTGAAGGGCCTTACTTCTCAAAATACAGGTGTTAGGACTTATTCAAGCTTCATTCATAAAAAAATTCACCATAATTTTTCAGGTTAGTTATTTTCTTCTTCTTCGCGTTCACCAGCTGTACACTCTGGTGGAAAGTTCTGGTTGTTCGTCCACTTCTGAACTGCAGTCCTGCTCCAGAACCTGAGTGTTGTGTGTGCATTAGTTTTACAGATCTGATTCACTTGAATGCAGACTGTTGGTTCCTTGCCTCTCAGGCAGATGCACTCCGACTTCAAAGGAAGCTCCCCAACTAGTCGACTCTTACAACTTGCTTTTGGGTAGGCAGAGGGTCTATTCTTGTTTTCCCCATGATGAGGCCCCGACACCCACACGGGGAAGGTTAGTTATATATGTTCCCAAGGTTTTAAAAAAAAATTTTGCTTGCATAAATTATGCAAATCAAAATAGTTAATTTAAATAAATGTTGAGATTTCAGTTTCATTCCTAAATATTCTGTTAGTTCATTCAATTTCCTACATGAATATATATAGTTTTATATATGTTAATTAAACTCTTTATTCTTTATAATTTTGTGTGTATGAACTATGAGAATCCCACCCTGATGGCTCCGTATTCTTGGCACGGAAACTAAAAAAAAGGCTCCGTCTCCAAAGGGTAAAAAGCAGTCACATCGTGTAATACAGAGCACACACATGAGCGCAGACAGCCCAGTCGTCCGCACCTCTCGTTTTCCACTCAATCGCTGACTCTTCATCCGTCACCCGATTCTCGATAGCTAGATACTTGACACCGATTCGCTACGTTTGGGTTTCAGCAGCCTGTTTACCAGCCATGGATATTTGCCAGATTACCGCAACACAATAACTTAACTGTCCTTCTAAGGATTTTGGGCCCTTTGTAGTTGCGGTATACAGTTCTATTATCGCCATGGCGCCTCCCTCACCTAACAGAGGGACGCCAACATCAGAAGCCGCCCCCATTGTGGCACTGGGACCCTCCAGCACCCGTCTACCAAAGCAGCAGTTGCATAGCTCTCTAGCGTATTTGGCTAAACTGGATTGTGCGGAGACCGGGTGACAAACTTCTTGTGGTCCGGGTTCAATCCCGGGGGTAGGCAGGAAAGCCACATTTCTCCCAGATTTACGGTATTTACAATGGAATCAAGGCAGAAACGTTGCGATAGCCATAATACCGAGCCTAAGGGTTAACAACTCATGGCTTCTGGATAATGAAAAATTTAAAAAATTAAAAAACCAAAGCAGCAGCCTGGAGACTACACCGGAGACATCATTCAATGCTCACGCTGCAAAAGGGCGTCGCACACAGCCGCGATCTGTCGCAGCAGCCCATTGTGTCGCTACTACTCTGGTCCACATGACTTCAAGGAGTGCCCCCTGGCAAAACTAGACCAGGATTTCAAGAGTCCGAACACCAACAGACGGTGCTCTAACTGCACAGGCGCTCACAGTGCAAGGTATCTGGGCTGCCCGTACCTCAAAGACATGAAGAGAGGGTTGTTCAGTGCCGTATCAAGAAACACGCACCGCCCAGACTCGACAAAAATGTACCAGACGCCCAGACCAACTAGCCCAAACCAGCCGAGAAGCCAGCCCGCCCGACAATCAAAAACCAGAGCACCTGAAAAGAAGAACGCGAGAGAGAGAGAGCCGCCAAGAAACAAAATGTCAACAGGGCTGACAAAAGCACAGTCACCGAAGCGGTAGTGACGACGAGGCACCAGGCACAACTGACTGATCCCACTATAAGCGAAGATCCAAACACTGAAACAGCTACCAGGCAACCAGTTACTCAAGACAGCAGCAACCGATAGGGCAATTTGCGAGGCCAACCTTCAAGCGATGCTTGAAAACTTTAACAAACAAGTACACTGGCACCAGCTAGAGATGGATGAAGACGGCAGCTGCTGTGTGATCAACTACGACTGGGAGGTTCTCGAAAAGAAAGACCTATCACCCGAAGAAACAGAAAAGCGCCACAAAGTTGACAGATTTCACGATGAACTCAAAGCAGCCCTTAAACAACTTCGCGCGCAAAAGCAAAAATAAAGTAAACATCACACGCCAAACAGAAGAGGTGACCGCCAGTTCTAAAGCCACTAAAGAGCGGCCCACTGAATACGCCGCCATCTTCACGGACAGCACACCACACGATTGCCAGACCTGATAGCAGAAGACAGCCACAATGAGACCCCGCCCCAGGCCAAAATGGCAGTCCTTTTTAGGGCTGCCAAATCCACTCCCAAAAAACTGGAATACGCCCACCAAGCCTG